GAACTTGCAACAGTCCTCCTGCATCGGCCTCCTGAGTGCTGGGATTATAGGCATGTGCGACCACATTCAGCTGATTTTATCGTTTGAGACAGGGCCTCCCTCAGTTGCCCAGGCTGGACTGGAACTTGAGATCCTCCTGCCTCAGTCTGCTGAGTGCTGGGATGACAGGTGTGCGCCATTTTGATTGCACCTGTCCCAGCCCGTCTGTGAGGTGGGACCGTCCCCTACTTGATGTGTGAGCAGCGGGCCCCTGAGCTGAGGGAGGCCTCTGCCTGTGGCTCAGCTGCTGTCTCTTCTCAGTGAGCCGGATGCCCTTCCTCACTTCCCAGAACCACTCACCTGACAACTGGAGGTTCTACCCAGAGCCCCGATGGCCCCGGGGGCCCGGGGTGGGCAGCCCTGAAAGTTGAAGAGACAGTGTCCCCGGCCTGCAGAGCAGGAGGTAAATCCTGCAGTCTCGGGCCACGGTGCAGCTGTGCCCGCTGACCCCTGGCCCCCTCTCCGCAGCAATGGCAGATGAGTCTGGGCACCAGCGAAGACCATCAGCACTTCACCTGCACCATCTGGAGGTGAGTGCACACGGCGGACACAGTGCCTGAGCTCGGGTGCCCTTGGTGGAACACACCCTGCTCCTTTTCCCGGCCGAGTAATAGTACAAGCCGGACCGTGCGGGGCTCAGACCCTCAGGCTGCGCCGGGTGGGAGGCCTGGACTAGAGGTCTGGATGGCACCGGGCTCTTTAGCCTGGAGGAGCTGCTGATGTTTGGGGAACTGGCCATCAGTGGGACTGGAGGGGGAAGCGGGGAGACCTTCGGGGAACATGGCAGGTGCCTGGTGAGGAGAGCGGGGCTGGGACTGGCGTGTGGGGACTGCCCGTCCTGGCAGGGCTCTTGGGCTCAGGCTGCTGCCTCCCGTGCAGGCCCCAGGGGAAGTCCTACCTCTACTTCACGCAGTTCAAGGCCGAGGTGCGTGGTGCCGAGATCGAGTATGCCATGGCCTACGTGAGTCCGGCTCTGCTTGGGTGGGCTTGGGGGCCCCGGATGTGGTTCTGAGGTGGGCCGGAGCACACGGCCCTCCGCCTGGCAGCCTCTGCAGGCGACCTGGGTAGCGCCACTGCTGTTGTCTGGACAGGAGCAGCGCCCCTCACCCATGGGGCCGCAGCCAGACCCGCCGCAGTGACGCTGCACTGGGCTCAGAAACAGTTAGGGGTCACTGCTGTCTATCCAGACCCAACCAGGGAAGCACAGACATGAAGCAGCTCACAGGTGGCGGGAAGAATAGCACACAACTGTCATCCCAGGTACTCGGGAGCCTGAGGCAGGAAGGTTCCAGTTTAAGACCAGCCTGGGCAATTTAGCCAAATCCTGTCTCAAGAGTAAGTAGGTGTGGGGTGTGGCTCTAATTTATGATCTTCCTGCCTCAGCCTCCCAGAGTGCTGAGGATGATACCTGTCACAACGCCTGTCAGAGGCCAAAGCTTTTGCCAGGTGACAGTGTCTGAGGTAGCTGAGCCAGCTGCTTCTGTTGCCTGCTCTCCCAAGAGCTGAGGGAAGTCCCACCCGACTCAGCAGCCATGCCCAGCACCCGTCTGTGCCCTTCTGGAGCGCGGACCGGGAGCACTGTTCCCGACTGCATGGCGGCTTCCGGCACAGACCCTGCTTGTTCTTTTCAGTCCAAAGCCGCATTTGAACGAGAAAGCGATGTTCCCCTGAAAAATGAGGAATTTGAAGTGACCAAAACAGCAGGTATGTAAAGATGGGTCATGGAGCCAGGCCATGGGGTGCACACCTGTCATCCCAGCATTCTGGAAGGCTGAGGCAGGAGGATGTAAATTCCAGCCCAGTCAGAGCAACTTAGCAAGACCCTGTCTCAAAATAAATGAAAAAAGGCACTGGGGATGTAGCTCAGTGCAAAGGCCCTGGGTTCCATCCCCAGGACCCTCCTCCCAAAAATTTAAAATGTCTTTCTAAGCCAGGTGTGGTGGTGCACACCTGTAATCACAGCACTCAGGAGGCTGAGGCAGGAGGATCACTGAGTTCGAGACCAGCCTAAACTACATAGCAAGATCCTGTCTCCAAAAAAAAGCCTTTCCAAGACCCATTGCCTGTGACCAGCTTCACCTGACTGGGCTGTGACCTCGTCATCACCCATTGGTTAATCCCTTAGTGGGGTCAGCGGCCTCATGGTCTGCTTACCTCTCCGTGCCTAAGGTCTTAACTCTGCCGCCTGGGGGACCAGGCCTCCCGTGGATGGCTCTTTGGGGGACACTCATTTAAACCATCGCAGAGCCTGGTGCCTCCACCCTGCTGCCACCATCCCGGCCCCTCTCCCATTCCTGACCTGGCACAGTGGCCAGGGCCATCCCACCTCATGCTCCCTATGGCGCCCGCTGGACCCAGGCCCTCAGGGCCGCTTGTGTCACGCACTGACCACCCTTGTTCCCTGCAGTGACGCACAGGCCGGGCGCCTTCAAGGCCGAGCTGTCCAAGCTGGTGGTCGTGGCCAAGGCCGCTCGAAGCGAGCTGTGACCAGCAGCGACGGGCAGAGCGCTGGGAGATGGCCTGTCTCAGGGTACCCTTGGTGTCCGCTGCGCCAGTGACCCTCTCAGCCAGCAGCCGTGTGTGGAGAAGCCGCTACCCGCCGTGCTCCTCACCTGCGGACCCAGGGCGCCCGCCTCCTGCAGCCAGGCGGGGTCTCCAGGGACCTGCCAGGCACCGGGAGCCCCCAGGACTCAACCCCACCATCACCCGGGGGACCTCCTTTGAGACAACGGGGAAGACACCAAATGTTCTTTCATATTTAAATAAATAACGGAGAAAAGGGGCTGGGGATTTAGCTCAGCGGCACAGTGCCTGCCTGGCAAGCGTGACGTCATGAGTTTGAGTCCTGGTACCGGGGAAAAAAAAAACAGAAAAAATAGCCACCCACCCAGGCCCCCGTGGGGCTCTGTGAGGCTCCCAATGGGATGCTGAGTACCGGGCAGCCAGCAGACCTCGGCACCAGCAACAGGTGCCCGGGGGTGGATCTGCTGTCCCCACTTGGTGCTTGGTTTTGGTTTCTGAAGTTGAATTATGCCGGCACAGCTTTAAAACAGTCAGGCTTGGTGGCGCACACCTGTCACCCTTGCTACTTGGAGGCTGAGGCAGGAGAATTGCAAGCTTGAGCCCAGCCTGGGCAACTTAGTGAGACATTATCTTTGACAAAAAAGGCCAGGGATGTAACTCAGTAGTACTGCAGGAACAGGCGAAAGGCCCCACTCTGGGGGCAGAGGTGGAGAAGGCGGAAGCCAGCGTCCTCCTGGTCCATGCCGTGCTAGAAAGAGGCGGCACTTACTGAAAGAATTCTCTGGTGCTCTTTGCTTTTTTTTTTTTTTTTAGTTAAATCTCAGATTGACAAAAGAGTTCAGGCAGAGTGGACAGCCCAGCAGGGGACAAGGACAGTTACATACTTTGGTGACTTGTGCAGCGCAGTTGGTGCAAGGGTTCCCCAGGGGAGGGCTCTCGGGCCCTTGGCCTGTGGGTCAGTTCTTCATGTCCTTTAGATTCCCCGGCAGGAGGCCGCTCCCGCTGTGCTGGCCCTTTCTTTCCCAAAGAACAGCGGCACACATTCTACCCCCGAGCGCTCTCCGCTGTGCAGGCCTGGTGCCCGGGCACCGTGGAACTCCCGCTGCAGACAGGCAGCGGGTCCGGTGAGCGCAGCCGCACTGCGCCTTGTCTAGTCCATGTGCGAACACTGAAAGATCCAGCTGCTTGCAGCTACAAACAGCACTTCATTTAGAGCTTAAGATTAGGTTATAACAACAATGCCAGCGCTGGGCATAGCAGTGCACGCCTGTATTCCCAGCACTCAGGAGGCTGAGGCAGGAGGATCAGCAAATTCAAGGCCAGCCTGAGCTACATAGTGAGACCCTGTCTCAAAAAATAAAACAACAAAAACGAATCCATCCCATACTTTCCTACTGTAAATTTGTACTGAAGCCGAATAGTAGCGGGCTGTGCGTCTCAGTAGCTGCACCTGGGGGTACAGGCAGCCATGTTCATGTACCCACCTGCTGTGAGGCACGGCAAGGTGTGTGGACCTGTGCCAAAATGTGCACCCGTGATTTTTACCCACGTGATGCTCTGTCTGACAGGTTTTGCCTGTGTTTACCTGAGTAGCAAGGTGTAAGGTACGCCCCACACTTGTGTTGTGTAAACGCGCATTTTACCGTAATGGGGTGTGGGCGTGGCTCGGTACCTGCGCCTGCCCCTGGGGAGAGCGAAACCCGAGCTCTCACCCCTGGGCACGGGAACAGCAAGGTGTGTGCAGGAGATCCGAAGCAGCGCCAGGTGAGTTTTACCTGTGAAATATGCTCATTGCTAAATCTCTGTGTGTCTAGGGTTTGTTTTTAAAAAGTGTTCTTGTGATTTTCCTAGTAGAAGTAGCCCAGTTCAGTACGGTGGCACATGAAAACCCAGGTTTGCAACTTCCGGAGGAGGTGGAAAGGGAAGCGTCAGATCACTCAGGCCCGGGTGGGGAGGGTGACTTGACGCTGGCCGTGTGAGCCAGAGCTCCCGCGACGGTGAAACAGCAGGAATTGACCGACCCCGACAGCGGGAGTGCCGCCCTCCTTGATTCGGGGGATGAAGAGAAGTTTGAGCTCGTGTTTGAGTAGTCGAGATGGTCACACAACCAAGTGGAACAATCCGGCGCTAGAACTAGGTCTTTATTTTTTGATATTTTTTCCTGTTAATACTCATTTTTTAATATAACAAAACTCATCAAATTAATAATTCTTCAATAGAAGTAGTCCAGAGAATAAACGTGGGTATGACACACCCACAGTAAGGCGCCTTTATGACAAAATTGGCGTCACATCCCTAAGATGGGCCCTGACCTAGGCACTGAGCAGTCTGCCCAGGCAGGGCGGGACAGTAGGAAGAAGAGTCCTCAGTAAAAGAAAGCTTTTTGGCTTTTTTAAGAAAGCGGAGGCTGGCATAGGGCGCACGCCTGCAGCCACTCAGGAGGCTGAGGCAGGAAGATCACAAGTTCTAGTCCAGCCTGGGCAACGTAGTGACTCAGTGAGACCTTGGCTCAAAAAGGATCGAGGAGGATGTAGCTCAGTTGAAAGGATCTGGGTTCCATCTCCAGCACTGGGGAAGAAAAAAAGGCAAGCAGAAGGTATGGACCGGCTGCGGGGGATCTGGGGGCCTTTTCTTTGGGAACAGCAGGAAGGGGGAGGGTTTGGAGGCGTCTGCAGCCAAACAGAGGGGGGGGGTGCCACTCCGCAGCTCCGCCAGGGGGCAGCACAGGCGCGGGGCCATCCACTTTCTAGGCCTAACAGCTAGGTGGGTCGGTGCAACTTCCAAGTGTTTAAACGTTGGCAGGGAATCCCAAACTTCTCAAATGCTAACTGGGCCGGAGCACAGCTGCCTTCAGGCCTATTGGGACTTGTGCGAGAAAAGACGCAGCTCTACACAGGGATGTCCACCCCCAGCAGCAGCGCTGCCGTGGCCGGCACCGGAGGCCTGGCTCCCGGCTCCCGGCTCCCGGGGCCTTCTGCGTGCTGCAAGGCTAAGAACATGTGCGGGGTTTGCTTCCTGGGCGCTTTCCTCTGCCGGGCTGGGGCTGGCGCGGGCCCCAGGTCTGTCCACACAGCAGCACTCCACCCTCCGCGCGGCTCCATTCACCCACTTCCTGGGGTTGCTGGGCCAGAACCCGCCCGAACCGAGCAGCTTCAGCGACCGCGCCTCGTCCCTGCGCAGTCGGGAGACCGGAAGTTGAGGGTGAGGCGTGGCCAGGGCCGCGAGGACACTGCCCCACCTGTGCCCAGCGTCTGGCGGTGGCCGCCATCCGGGGTGTTTTTGGCTCGCGGAAATGTCACCCATCTCTGCCTCCGTCGTCACAGTGTGCCCCCGTGTGCGCGTGTGTCCCAGCGACCTTAGAAGGGTCCGGGCCGTGCTGCGTCAGGACCCACCCGGCTGTACCAGGCTTCACCCGAGCCCGTTGCTTCTGCGGCCAGCCAGGGTCGGGACGGGAAGGCCGGCGCTCCGGCTGTGCGGTTCCGCTGGAAACCCGCCCTCCTCCCGCTGCCGGAGGGTGGAAACACCCGGCGCCGTCACAGAGGCCGCGCCGGCTCTGAGATCCACCAGGCGCTTCGCAGGGAGCAGGTGGGCTCACAGGAGTGGGCAGGGGCCCGGGACGCCGTCGGGGTGACAGGTGGGCCTGGTTAGCTGCGGTCCAGCGCAGCTCTGCGACGTCACAGGTCAGGGAACCTCAGGCAATGCGGACTTTACTTTTGGTTACTTACGTACTTTTCTGGCTGGTACTGGGGATTGAATCCAGGACCTTCGCTCTGAACTCCATCCCCAGCCCGTTTTTATTTTTTATTTATAGACAGAGTCTCACTGAGTTGCTCAGTTGCCCAGGCTGGGCTCCAACTTGAGATCCTCCTGCCTCAACCTCCCAGAGCGTGCCCCGCCACGTCACAGTCGGCATGGGCCTTTGAAACTGCTGGTGCCGATGATCTCTGAATCAGGTCCTCCCGGGGGTCAGGCCACTCATCCAGAGTGGCACGGGGTAGGGGGAGAGGTTACAGGCCCCCGGCACGCCCTCCCAGCGACACCCTCAGATGGTGCCGTCCTCCAGCATCCGGCCCAGCCCGTCACAGATCCTGTCCAGGTGCGAGCGGTAGGGCTCCGCCGGGCCGTACAGGGCGGCCAGGAAGTCGCCGTCGGCCAAGTGGCTGAAGACGCGGCCGATGCGCGCGTGGGACTTGGCGGTGAGGTGCGGCCCGGCCGCCTGCTGCAGCAGGTCGCGGCACTCGAGCAGCCCGGCGGCCAGCACGCGGCGGTCGAAGGTGAAGGCCACCTGGTGGAAGCTCACGGCCGTCATGGCCAGGCCCCGCGCCCGCTGCCGGAAGCGCCGCAGCCGCGCCAGCTCCTCGGCGCCCAGCTGCCCGGCGCGCAGCAGCACGGCCACCTTCACCGCCACCTTCACCAGGTCCTTGAGCAGCTTCTGCGCCGCGCGCCGGCTGCGCGTGAACTCCTTGGTGGCGCGGTACAGCTCGTCCAGCACCTCGCTGCTCGTGTCATCCACGAACGTGGCCACCACGGCCTTGCAGGGCATCTTGCTCAGGACCTTCTTCTGCGCCTGCAACGCCAGGCTCTTGGTGCTGAAGGGGTCCATGAGCCTGTGGGGACAGACGGACGGGTGGACAGACAGACGGATGGAGCAGCAGTCCCACGACAGGGAGCCCCCAGCCTCTCCCTCCTGCTAACGCGGTGGGCAATAATGCCGCCGTGGGCGGAACCTCTGCCTAGGAGAGGCGGGGCGGGCGGGGCGGGGGGTGTCAGTGGCATCCACACCCAAGGACAGGCAGCTGGACAGACCCTTGAAGAACCTACAGGGAATCTGATTCTTAAAAGAAAGAGATGGTGGTGCACGCCCGTCATCCCAGCTACTCAGGAGGCTGAGGCAGGAGGACCTCATGTTGAAGCCCAGTCTGGCTAACTTACAGACTTAGCGAAACCCTATATCAAATTATAAAAAATAAAAAAGGGCTGGGGTGGAGCTCAGTGGTAGAGCAGCCCTGAGCTCCATCCCCAGTGCCACAGAAGAGAGTAGGAGGGGTGGTGGGGGGAGGAGGAGGGTAGAGAAAGAAGAGGTACAAGAAGCGGAGGAAGAACTAGAGGAGGAGGGGAAGTGGTGCCGGCACTGAAGTCAAAGGCGCGCATGTGCAACGCTGCAGCGCTGGGGTGGGGGAGGCGCACCGTGATGGGGAGCTTAGCCAGCCTCAGCCCTCCTCGCCATGCCCCATGCCTGTCCCCATGCCTGTCATTGATGGGATGGCAGCTGGAGCCCCAAGCCTGGGCCGTTTAGGAGAACGGTGTCCCAGCCTCACTGCCCCTTCGGGGTGTACAGGAGGCATCCTCGGGGTGGTCCGCCCAGGACGGGAAGCAGCCTGGGCAGTGGCTTCACCTCCAGAATCCCTCCTAAATTCCAGAGCTAGGCCTGTCCCTTCTTGCTGAGAAGCAGGGGACAGTTCTCCACAGCCTCAGGACCAAGCCACACCCCTTTGTCTTCCTTGGTGAACTCCTATACATCCCCCCAAGCCCTGGCCCCCAAACTCCTGCCTCTTTCCTGATGAACTTCTTTACACTCCCTAAAACCCAGGGCCCCAAATTCTTTCTGGGCTGATTCCTCTTGCAGCGCAGCCTATGGCCAGGCGGACCCTACCTCCCCAGGAGCCATGGCTGGACTCCCACACCACCGCTGCCCAGAAGCCCCGGGCCACCCCGCCAGCCTGGGCTGGAATGCCATGCAGCCCCCACTCACTCCTGGGACCCCACAAAGCTGTCTTTGTTTGAGCTCAGCCCCCAAGAGGAGCCCTGGCGCTGGGCCGCCCTCTCCTCACCCTCTGAGGTCAGGCCTCTGGAATGGCCGCCCCGCGTCGCTGCCCCTGGCCTGAGGGTCACAGGCCTGTTGGCTCGGGGCTGCACACCCAGCTCATCCTGCCGCCGACTGCTGGGCCCCGGGCGGCTGCGAAGACCCAGGGCCGCCTGCCCAGCCTCTGCGCCGGATTCCCCTGCCCTCCCCACCTGTGGCCCTGAGCCTTGGGGGCCAGGCACGGTTCCTGTAACAAAAGCAGCCCCCATGGGCAGCCTGTTCCCAGCTCTGATGGCCTCAGCAGACACCCTAACCATGACATGCCTCAGTTTCCCCAGGTCTAAGATGCAGGTAACAAGAACCAACTCTGTCTTGGGGCAGAAGCTTGTGGCTGGCCCTAGAATTCCCCAAGCCAGGAAGGTTCCCCAGACCCATGGCCACCCAGGCTCTACCTGCAGTCCCTGAGCACATAAATGTGCTCTCTGGAAGGAAAAGCTGTGACTTCCAGGGGCCACCTGCCACAAAGGATGCTCCTCCGTGACAATCCCAGAGGGTCATGCCAGTTTCTCTAGAACCTTCTCTTCTGTCCCCTGTCCCTCTCTTCCCCTCCTCTCCATTTTACTCACCAGACGAACTCCTATTCATCCCTCAAGACCCAATGTCTCCATCACCACCTCCTGGAAGCCTCCCAGATGCCGCTTCAGTCCACAGAGCTCTCAGCAGCCCCCATGCAGCTGCAGGTGGCTTGATTTCCAAGTTCACCTTGCTTGGCCCATGATACCAGCAGGGCCTGTGACTATACTATCACTCCTGTGACCAGCCCGGGTGCAGCGAGTGTTGAATATGAAGGAGAAAGGAAGTCTGTAGCCATGGGGACAGAGGACGTCCAAGTCCAAGTCCCAAGCTTCAGATGAACACACCAAGGCCCAGATTTAGGAAGGAGGCCCAGATTGAGCATGGTGTGATGCACACCTGTCAGCCCAGCACTGGGGAGGCTGAGGCAGGAGGATTGCCATGAGTTCAAGGCCAATCTAGGCTACATAGTGACACTCTGTCAAAAAAAAAAAAAAAAAAAGGACAAAGGAAAAAGAGGTCCAGGAGCCCATCTCTCTGTCAGTTGCGCCAGGCAGAGTTCCACCCTCTCTGGGCCTTTCCTTTGCCATCTGCAGCGCAGCAGCGGGTGCAGAGGGGATGAGCTGGGATCAAGCCTGGGGAGCTGCTCCCAGCAGGAAGAGGGAGGGGTGCAGGCAGCTGCAGCGTCCCCCCAGTGTCACCTCCAGCCTGGCCCTCAGCCTGCGACACCTGGGCCCCAGCTGCGTGGCCTCCCTTCTTCCCTGGGACCCATTGTTCTGCCAGAAAGTCCCGGCAGGGAGGTGACTGCTGCTCCAGAGCAAGGCCACTGACCAAAATAAACCACAGCTTCCTTCCTGGGGGGGCGGGACCCTTTCCCTGTCCCCATCTCCTGTCCACCCAATGCCAAGTGCTCCACAGCCCGAACAGCCCACTCCAGCTTCAGGAGATTGGCCCCACACTCATTTGGCCACCTAACAAACATTTATGGCTGGGCATGGTGGGGCACACCTGTAATCCCGACACTGGGAAGGCTGAGGCAGGAGGATCGCTATGAGTTCAAGGTCAGCCGGGGCTACATAGCAAGACTGCAGAGAAAGAAAGAAAGAAAGAAAGAAAGAAAGAAAGAAAGAAAGAAAGAAAGAAAGAAAGAAAGAAAGAAAGAAAAGAGAGGAAGGGAGGAAGGGAGGAAGGGAAGGAAGAAAGAAAAGAGAAATAAGGGAGAGAGGGTGGGAGGAGATAGAAGGAGGGAAAGAAAGAAGAAAGAAAGAAAAAGAAAGAAAGAAAGAAGGGAGGGAGGGAGGGAGGGAAGGAGGGCAGAGAAAACTCAGATGAAATAATAGATGGTGGTCAGGCATAGGGGTGCACACCTGTCATCCCAGCACTCAGGCTGAGGCAGGAGGATCCCCCAAGTTCAAAGCCAGCCTGCATCCCCCACCCAGGTCCATCTAGTGCTCTGAGGTCCGCGCCCTCAGGGCCCTGAGCTGCCAGCTCCTGGCCCTGCCAACCGCCCCCCTCCGCCCCCAGGCTGTACCTCGGACTTCTCACTGCGGCCAAACCCTCCTTCTCCTCCTGGGCTCTGGCCCCCGTCCTCCTCCCCATGTGGACACTAAGCTGCACCCTGCAAAGCGCTTGGGGGCTAAGAAACAGCAGCACCTTCACCTGCTCAAAGCCCAGGCGCACGGGCAGTATCTGAGCCATCCCTGAGCAGGGCGGGGTGCAGAGGGCTTGTTCTGCTGCAGCCGTTCAGGCCCTTCCTCCCAACCCATCCCTGTCCTCCCCTCAGGGTCTCACTACACAGTCCAGGCTGGCCTCAAACTCACAGCAATCCTCCTGCCTCAGCCTCCGAAGTACTGGGATTACAGGCGTGCCCACCAACTTTTTAAAACACATGAAAGCATAGTGATGCAGTGGTACATGCCTGCCATCCTAGCAGTCCGGGAGGCTGAGGCAGGAGGATCGCAAGTTCAAAGCCCTGGGTTCCATCCCCACTTAAAAAAAAAAAAAAAGAAATGTCTGCAGCTGTATTCATCCAAATTGTTTCTCACAATTTGTCCTGAGGTAGAAGCGTGTGCTGCAAGGTTTATAAAAGTAATAAACTATATGAAGCTCTTTGTCATAAGTGCCGTAAGGGCAATTGATTCTCCCAAGATGCTTCTTCCTTTCACTTGCAATATAACATTGCAATCAGTAAATGAGTGTCATCATGTCACTTGAATGTCATCTGATCCCAGCCTTCCCACAGGCCCACATCAATGATTCAACAAACCTCACTTAGAAAATATTCAGAAAAAACTGCATCTGCCCTGAGGGAGGGCGGACCTTTTCTCCTGTCAATACTAAACAATGTGGGGTAACAACGACTTCTACAGCATGGATATTACCTCAGGTGTATACATCATCTAGAGAGGATTTAAACTCTCTAGATGATAATTCTTAACCACCAGCTTTTTAAAATACATGAAATTTTAGCCAGGTCTTATGGCACAGGTCTGCCCTCCCAGCACTCTGGGAGGCTGAGACAGGAGGATTGCAAGTTCAGGCCAACCTGGGTACCAGAGGGAGACCTTGTCTCAAAATTACAAACAAAAAGGGGTGTGGCTCAGTAATGGAGTACCCCTAGGATGGACTGTCAGTACCAGGAAAAAAAAATTGGTAAACTAGGCCCCCTAACTGCTTTTGTAAATAAAGTTTTATTGACACACAGTGATGCCCCTTCATATCAGCTATGGTGCTTTCCCTCTTACACCACAAGTGGACAGACTGTGAGGCTTTCCAGGCTGAAAAGATTTGCTGTCTGACCGTTTATAGAAAAACGTTGCCAAACCCCGGTCCAGATGAACCATAGAACAATACATCAAGCCTCAATTTGTAGCATTTGCCAATTTCCATGGTGTAAAATTCGCCACCATGGCCAACTTCAGGCTGCTCATTTCATATCAATGAACATGGAGTTGGGAAGCAACTTCCACCAAACAATGTAAGATATGAAAATAACCCCAGAGCACAGGCCACGGCCATGTGTGAGAAAATGAGTTTCTCTCGTCCAGCATCTGAACCCAGGGGGAACAGAGCCACATCCCCAGGCCTGTCTTAAATTTTTTATTTTGAGCCAGGGTCTCACCAGGTTGCCCAGGCTGGCAGCAGATTTGCAATTCTCCTGCCTCAGCCTCCTGCCACCATATCCCGCACCTTTTTTTTTTTTTTAATATAAAAGATTTATTGACTTGTTTTTTTGTTTTTTTTTTTTTGTCTTTTTGAGACAGGGTCTCTCTATGCAGTTCAGGCTGGCCTTGAGCTCACTTTGTAGCCCAGGCTGGCCTCGAACTTGCAACAATCCTCCTGCTTCAGCCTCCCGAGTGCTGGGATTACAGGCGTGTGCCACCACATCCAGCCCAAAATTCACTAACTTAAAGGGTACAATCGGTGAATTTTCTATACTCACAGAGCTATGCAACCACCACCATTATCTAGTTCCAGACCACGCTGTCACCCCAAAAGGAAGCCCTGCCCCCATGAACAGTAATCCCCTCCTCTACCCAGCTCCTGACGCCCCCTAGGTCCACTTCCTGTCTCTGGATTCACCTGTTTGGACATTTCCTGTTCACGGAGCCCACTCTGTGTGTCCTTCCATCTGTCTTGTAGTATGTGTTGCACCTTGCTCCTTTTAAAGGCTAAATAATATTCCACACCTTTCCTGTATTTATTTTGGTGTTTTGAGTCAGGGTCTCCCTAAGTAGCATAGGCAGGGTTTGACTTTGTGGTGATCCTCCTGCCTCAGCCTCCCAAGTCCTGGGATCACAGGCGTGCTCTGCCAGGCCTGGCTGTTTTATTTTTTATGTATTTATATTCTGCAGTGCTGCAGCTGGAGTCCAGGGTCTCGGCCTGCTCAGCAAGCGCTCCCCACTGCATCCCCCCCGCCAGCCGCTTTACCGAAGTGTCACTCAGTCACCAGCAGCTTTAATAAGGACAGCGTTTAACAATCGGACGACAACATCCATGGCAAGCCGCAGATGCCGCCCCGCTCCCTGTCTCAGGCCCCGCCCCACCGCATGAATTCTTCACGGCCCTCACTACGGGCATCAATAATTAACGGGGCCACCCGCCGGCCCGGCTCGGCCAGCTGCTCCTGTCCCCAGCTCGGCCTGGCCGCCGTGTCCCGGCGCGGCCCCATCCTCCGCCCGGCGCGACCGGCACCCTCTGGTCCTCACACCAACACACCGGCACCACCCACTGGGGAACTCTTGCTGCCTCCGGCCCCTCTCGGTGTCAACACAGAGCAGGGCGAGCGTGCTGAGCAGAGGTGGGGCGACAGCAGCGGCGCTCCGCTGCGCTCTCTCCAACTCTCTGGGCCACCCCTGCGCTCTGGTCCCTACTTGATGCAATAGCCTCCCCACAGCCGCCAGAGGGCGCCACGAGCACCGAGCCAGGTCCTCCCTCCTCTGCCCTCAGCCCTCCTGGGCTCCCACCTCCCTGGGGCCAAAGCCCCGGTCCCTCCGCAGCCCGCAGGGCCTTGCACGGCCGCCCATCCCCTCCCCGCCTCCCCAGAGCCCTCTCCGCCCCTCCTCCCTCTGCTCCAGCCGTAGGGGCGCCTCCATGCTCCTGCACCGCTCCAGGCTCTATCCTGCCCCGGGGCCTTTGCACCCGATACTCCTGTTTCCTGCCATGCGTTCCCGCAGGTCTCCACATAGCTTTACGTGGTCCCTCAGGCCCCCGTTCACCTGTCCCCTTCCTCAGAAGTCCTTTCAGATTTTCCATCCATGCCGCCCCCAATTCTCTTCTGTCATCATTTTCATGCAATTACGACCCAAAACACGGTTTTTCCGGAAGGATTGCATTCACCTCAGCCTACCACTTCTTGAGCCAAGCCGGGCGGGCGCCAGACTGGCTTTTATCACTGCTGGGTCCTTGGAGCCCTACACCAGGCCAGATTTAGCACAAGTGCTCAGCACCTGTTTGTCGAGTGAATAAATGACTACTCAGCGACAGGAGAGCACAGTGTCAGAGACCTTAACCAAGGGCCGCATGGTGCAGCCAGAGATTCAAAGGCTGAGACACATGGTACGGATGTGCACCCCCCTAATCAAAGAACATCCCGGCACTATTATCTCAGCTTTCTTCCAGGAAAAAAAAGGAGAACCCAAGCCAGGGTGGTGGCACATGCCTGTCATTCCAGCATTCTGGAAGGCTGAGGCAGAAGGATCTCAAGTTCAAGCCCAGCCTGGGACTACTCAGCAAGACCCTGTCTTGAAATAAAAAATAAAAAGAACTGGGAGTGTAAAAAGGCCCTGGGTTTCAACCCCAGCAACACACACACACACACACACACACACACACACACACACACACACACACACACGTGTACCTCAGCTCCATTGGATAGATGAGAAAAGTGAGTCCTGGCGGACGTGGCTAACGATGCCTACCTCAGAGCCCAGGTGTGGGGTTCTGGAGCTCACGGGTGGGGACCCTACAGCAGAGGGTGGCGCTGCGCACCGGCCGGGGCCCGGCCCCTCTCTGGGCTGGCTGTGTGTTTCTACGACACCCATGAGTTCTATCCTCTCCTGGCCCCACATGACAAACAGGGACGCTGAGGCTGGGACACCCCCCACCCCGAATCACCAAGGAAGCCAAAAGCTCCTTCCGATGGGAAACGGAGGCTCAGGGGCACCTGACCCAGCCCAGGCCACACCACGGGCCTGGAGTCTACACGCTTGGTCCTGTCCCGTCCTCCTGTCCCCAGGCCCCAGGGGCCGCCCTGGCCTTCCACTGCATCTGAGCAGCCCGGCGCCCGGCAAGCGGCTCGGCCCAGGTGTGCGGCCAGGCCCGGCCCTTTGTTGCCGGTGTTCCAGGGCACAGCGTCCCAGCCCCTGCTCTGCCCGGCCGCCACGCCCTAACAGCTCGGCAGCCGAGCCAGGTACTTGCTGGATTTGAAATTTGGCGCCAAGGACCTGCCAGGCGGGTAGCGGGCACGGCAGGCGAGGGCCTTGGGGCCCAGGAGCGAGGCTGTGTGGGGCGGGGCTGCAGTAACATTGAGGAGCTGGAGCAGAGTGACAGCGGGGCCACACTCCTGCACCTGACCCTCCAGGCAGCCACTGGCCTCGTGAAATTTTGTTCTTCTACATTATTATTATTATTATTATTATTATTATTATTATTATTATTATTCTAGGCCTCCACACCGAGGTACATCACCAGACCTTTCTCAGTTTTTATTTGGAGACAGGGTCTCCTTATGTCATCAGATTGTCTAGACTGGGCTCAGACTTGCGATCTCGCAGGCTCAGCCTGAGAGTGCTGGGATTACAGGTGTGGGTCCCCACATCTGGCTCCATCCTCGTTTTACAGATGAAAAAACAGGCTCGTGAGACCTGAGCTACGTGTTCAGGGCACCACAGCAGCTGGCGGAGCTTGAATCCAGGTTCCTCTAAGCTCCCCGACCCCCAGGCTGACTTAGGACCTGCCTGATCCCCTGGAGCCCCCAGCTGAGCTCAGGAAGTTGCTTCATGTCCTGTTCACAGCTGGGGGCCCCCTCTCCTGCGTCAGCCACAGAGAAGATGCTGACCACATAAGGCTCCTAAGGGAGAGCAGATCCCAGTCCTACCTCAGTCCCTATCTCCCTGGCCAATCCTTGGAGGCTTTCTGGGCCTCAGTTTGCCGTCCTGGGAAATGGGCCCAGTTTGCCAGCACAGAAAAGGGTAAGCAGCGACAGGTCTGGACTGGGTCACCTCCCAGTTACCTCAGTGGCCACAGTCCCAAGCCACAGCTCATAAAGCCGAGGCCCAGGCCTCAGTCACACGGAGCGGGCTGGTGGGCAGGGTGGGGGCCCTGGCTCCCCTATTCCTGCATGGTGGCGAAAGCCGCTCCCGTGCCCACCGCCCGGACACCCTGCCCGGGAACCTCTGCTGGGAAGGCAGAGTCCACACCAGGGCCCAGGGCGTCAGCACCAGTCCCTCCGTGGGACCCCAGGCCGGGAGATGGGGCGGCTCACACCCATGTGTCGCCTCCACCCCAACTCAGACACCCAGAGAGCCACCGAGACACAGGGGAGCTGAGGCGGGAGGGCACACAGGCAGACTGGGGTGCGGGGGCCGAGGGCGGCCGCTCGCTCACCTGCTCTCCGGGATCCGTCCGTCCGTCCGAGCGTCAGGGAGCCGTGTGTCCCAGCGGGATCCGTGGGGCTGCACCTTTGCCGCCTATACTAGAACTAGTCTCACGGGGACGGGGCGGGGCGTACTGCGCGGCCACGCCCCATAGACCACGCCCCCAGCCTTCCCCGCCCCCTCAGAAGAGCCCGGAGAGGCTCTGGGCGGTGGGGGCGGACCTAGCGGGCGGGCTCCGCCAATGGCAGCGTGGGCGATGTACAAAGAAGTCAATGAGAGCAAGTCACTGCGGGGAGGAAGGGGGCGGGTCCTGGGCGGGGAGGGGGCATTCCTCCGGAATCTGGACGCGACCGGGTGCGGGGTGCGGCGCCGGCTCCAGGCGTCTGCTGCGGAAAGGGAAGGAAGGAGTGGGGGTGCGGGAGGGACAGGCATTGGCTTAGAGGCCAGGAGCCTTGCGGAAAAACAGACCACCACGTGGCTCTACGCAGGCTCCTCCTTCCTTCAGTTTATCCACCCGGTAGGAGGATTTGGGCGGAAGCACGTTCCTAGAGGGACGCGGTAGCGCAGGGCTGCAGGGCCAGGACGTAGGGAGGCTGAAGCAGGAGGATCTCAAGTTGGAGCCCAGCCTAGGCTGTCTCAAAAATAAATATAGGCTGAGGAAGCAGCTCGGTGCGAAAGCCTTGGGTTCAGTCTGCGCCAGGGTGGCGGACGAATCTGTGGGGTGAGACTTGGGGCAGCCCGGGATGGAGAACCCTGACGTCCGCACGGAGCAGCCCCCTCCAGCTGCGGTTTCCGGGATGCAGGAGGATGCAGCTGTGCGCCCTGGGAACCGGGCCCTGCAGCTGCTCCCAGCTCCGCGCTCTGTGCTCCATTTCCGCTCCACGCACCTGCGCAGCTCGGGGTCCCGTCCAGCTAGGGCTGGGGGAGCCCACGGCAGCTAAGCCCATCCTCCTCCACGCAGCCCGACAGCGGATGTTTGCAGAGGGCTTTCCCTGCCTGTGGAAGGGTGACCCAGGCAGATCCTGGCCGCGAGAGACAAAAACAAGCAGATTGACTCTTTCACTATGGAGTGAAAAACTGAGGCCAAGAAAGGGAAGGGACCTCCGGAGGCCACACGGGCCCAGTGGTCAGGCCAGGATCCCAGGCTCCTCGCACACATAGCGGGTCCTGTGCTCTCTGTACCCTGGACCTCCTGCCCTCTGCCCTCTGCCCTCTGCACTTTGGGGACCAATGGTTATTGTTTACTTTTTTTTGAAACAAGGTCTCACTGTGAAGTTCAGGCTGGCCTGGAACTCACTATGTAGCCCAGGCTGGCCTGGAACTTGCAGCAATCCTCCTGCCTCAGCCTCCTGAGTAGCGGAATGACAGGCGTGTGCCACCATGCCTAGCTGGGGCTGGTGACTCTTGCTCCCTGGGTGGGGGACATTGTGGGCATTGTAAGGTGCTGAACATTGTCGCAGGCCTCCACCTGTCACAGCCCCAACCATGACAACCACAGATGTCCCCAGACACTTCTCGGAGTCCCCCTGTGGCTGACTGCCCCAGTTGAGAGGCGCTGGTCTAGATTGACATTTCATGCCCCTGGCCCCAAGCTATGGGTCAGAGAAGCTCTGGGGGGTCACAGCGGCCGAGCCGTGTGCACATCCATCTCATCACACCGGAGGAGCTTGTTCCGTGGGCCGGGGGCGGACATGGGCAGGCCGAGGCGGAGAGTGACCGAGGTGAATTCCAACTCAGTTTGGGGCCGGGCACAGCTCAGCGGCGAGCGCCTGTCTCTCGCGCAGAAGCTCCTGGTCTCATCCTCCTGACCGGGGAAAAGCTTAGGTATCCTCTGACTGTGTGTGCACCTGGAGCCTCTTCCCAAATCCATGAAAGCCTGTGGGTCCTCAAATAAGTCAGGGAATTTAAAAACCACCTTGCAGATGTGCAGAAACGGGGAGCACTGTGCCCTGCTGACAGGAACATACAGTGGGGGCGGCCACCATGGAAATCTGGAGCTCAACAGAGAATTTCTGCATGACCCAGAGTTCCACACCCAGTGTGTACTCAAAGATGCCAAAAGCAGGGCCCGCGTTACATTTGCATGGCTTGGTTAATATCAGCATTATTCACGGTAGGCCAAAGGTGGGAACAACTCAGGAGTCCATTGACGGAGGAGTGGATATACACAGCGTGGTCCATCCACACCCAGGAATATTACTCAGCCAGGTAAAGGAAGGCGATCCTGACTCCACTGCAGCATGGATGGACCTTGAGGCCGTGCTGCTGAGGAGCTGAGCCAGACACAGAGGGACACGCACTGCAGGGTCCCACTCCCAGGACGCCCCTCGTCCTCAGATCCACAGAGACAGGAAGGAGACGGCGATGCTGGGCTGGGGAGGGGATGGGAGTTAATCCTGTTGTGTTTGTTTGTTTGCTTGTTTTTGAGGCAGGGTCTCACTATGTAGCCCAAGCTGGCCTTGCACTCGTAGTGCTCCTCCTGCCTCAGCCTCCCTAGTGCTGGGATGGTAGGCGTGCGCCATCACACCTGACCTGGAGGCAGTGTAGTGTTTCATGGGGACAGAGGTTGAGTTTGGAGAGGTGAGAAAGTCTTAGAGGTGGACGGTGCTGACAACGGCGCAGCCACGGGAGCGCACTTAGTGTTTCTGAACTGTGTCCCCGACAGCAGTTAAAGGGACAAATTATCTTGCACAGTGTCTTGATAAAGCTGGTTTTTAGTGCCAGGAGCAGGTGTGTTAACATCTGAGCTATTTATTGAGCACCTACTGTGGGCCAAGCATCGCCAGTACTTTGCATTCATTAACTCACCTCACCCAGTCCTCAGAGGGGCAACATTGAGGCCCAGGCTCCACCCCCTGTAGTGGCACTATTGGCACCTCCCAGCCCAGTGCTCTGGGAGGCTGAGGCAGGAGAATTACCAGTTCAAGGCCACCCTGAGCAACTTAGCAATTTAGCGAGACCCTGTCTCAAAATTAAAAAAAAAAAAAGAGGGAGCTGAGGTGGGTAAGCCCTACAGCCGTGTGGCAGGCTGGGCGGGTCACTAGGCTTAGTGAGGTGGGGCCTCCTTGCCAAGCATGGATTGGAAAGGTGAGGGTCGGGAGAGGTGTGTGGGATTCACCCTAGATCAGGGCTCTTTCCTATGGGGCAGGGGACTCAGGCCAACCCCAGGCTATACCTGGATCCGGGCTCTGCCAGGGGCAAGGCTCAGCCTAGGGTAGTGTCTTTTTTTTTTTTTTTTTTTTTTTTTTTTGTCTTTTTGAGACAAGGTCTCGCTATGCAGCTCAGGCTGGCCTTGAGCTCACTTTGTAGCCCAGGTTGGTCTCGAACTTGCAACGATCCTCCTGCCTCAGCCTCCCGAGTGCTGGCATTACAGGCATGCGCCTTAATTACTTTTCTCGTGGCTGAGACAAAGTACCTAATGCCTGAGGTTGAAGGAGGAACGGTTAATTTGGGCTTTCAGTTTGTAGAGGTTCTAGTCCACGGGTCTGCTGGGATCGGGGCGCACCTCAGGACTGGGGCAGCCCAGGGTCAGGGCTCAGTGGGTTATGGAGCGGGGCACACGGGGCTGCACTCCTCTAAGCGCGGAGGTCCCAGGTCCCGGGACTCAGGGCCGCGCCGATTCCGGCCTCTCCCAGCAGGGGGCGCGCGCAGCACACGACCCAGGCCCGCGGCGCCTTGGCTCCCAGGAAAGGATCGCGGGGCGGGCAGGCACTGGGCTCCAGGTCTCCCGAGACTCTAGACTCGCCAGCCACCCCTGCGCGCTGACACCCAGCCGTGCACCGCGGGGAGCCGTGCGGTCCGCAGCCAGGGTCCCCCGGCCCGGGCCTCGGCCTCGAGCCTGCGCAGTGAGAGCACCGATGGGTGCGGGCGGGGTCTTGCTCACCAGGGCCCGCGAGAGCCCCGCTCCCGGCCCGGCGCTGCGGGCTCTGCCTCCTCCGCGTGCGGGGGGCCATCTGTCCCCGCCCATCTGGCCGCCCCGGGGACCGTGTCCCAGGCCACTTGGGTAAAGGGCAGGCCCGGCCGGGGTCCTCAGGGCACTGTTCCCAGGCTGTCGCCTCCCCGGGTCAGGTGTCGCCTTGGGTTTGCGGCCCACTCCCCCCTCCACCGCCGCCCCGGCCACCCAGGCGGAGGCTGTGTTTACAACGCCGCTGCAGACGGCCGGCTGCCTGCGCGTGGGAAGTGGGAAGCGGCGTCTGGAGAGATGAATGACGCGAGTGTCCGCGTGAGGGCGTGGGTGCGTGCGGCCGGGGAGGGGGCAGCCCCATCTGCCGACTCCCAGCGTAATGAGCGCCCCCCCCCCCCCCCCCGTCATCCTGGGAATGGAACGTGCCAGCTCCTTAGGCTGGAGAGATACCGCTGGGGTCCACGAGCACAGGACCCACGCAGGACAACAGGGCCAGCCCTGGAGGGAGACTGAATTCTGAGGCTGCTTGATCAAGCTGGGCCTGAAACCCCTGGACTTTATAGTCTCTGGACCTGGCCTAGGGATATTTCTTTCATAGGACTTAAAGGATATGTGCAGGGTAGTTAAGGTTTTTAAAACCCTTTTTAAAAAGAAAAATTTAAAATTGCATTTCCATGCCTCAACTCCCCACCCCTTTGTGTGCCAGTCCTGTGGCAGAAGATAAAGGACCCAGAGTAACCTAATCTCTCAGACCCAGACTGCATGGAGCTCCTGGCCTCGGGCAGGGAGAATTCCACACAGATCTCCCAGTGAAGGGAGTCTTCAGACCTAAGGAGCAGACAGGGGTTAATTTGTGAGAGTCCAGGTGGACTGCATGGAGGAGGGGGGTCTTGAGGGCTGAAAAGGAGTTTTTATGGGAGAAAATAGTGTGTGTGGGAGGTTCTTTTTCTTTTCTTCTTCCTCTTTTTTTTTTTTTTTTTTTTTCTTCTTTTGGTCTTTTTGAGACAGGGTCTCGCTATGCAGTTCAGGTTGGCCTTGAGCTCACTTTGTAGCCCAGGCTGATCTTGAACTTGGAAGGATCCTCCTGCCTCAGCCTCCTGAGTGTTGGAATTACAAGTGTGCGCCACCCTGCCTGGCTGAAAATGGCGTTTGACAACAAGGAGAATGTTTCAGGAGAAAGGACGTGGCGGGCCGAGGCCGAGAGGTGGGAAAACATTAAGTGGCCCATAACAGGTAGGACAGGAGGGACTGAGAGGGAGAGGTTGAGTT